GCCTGCTTCTCCCTCTGACCCTCTCCTCTCTCATGCTGTTTCTCTCTCGCTCGCTCTCTAATAAATAAATAAATAAATAATCTTAAAAAAAAAAAGAAGAATAAAGTAGCAACAGCAACTCCCTGGTCTTGATAAGGTACTACAGATATACAGGATATTATCACTGGGAGAAGCTGGATAATGGATACATGGGAACCCTCTGTATATTTTTGTAACTTCTTGTGAGTCTAAAAGTATTTCAAAACAAAAAATGGGTTTGTTTGTTTTTTTTAAACAAAAAGAAGAGTAAAGTACAGATAAATGACATAATGTCTGAGATTTGCTTCAACATAATTTGGGGAGAGAGGAGAAGTGGCTCAGAGTATAAATGAAACAGGACTGGTATGAGTTGACAATGTTGGGAGCTGGGAAGCGGGTATGTATGCTTCTTTATACTATTCTGTCTACTTATGAATATATTTGAAACTTTCCATAATAAAAATGGTGGCTTTTTTTTAATGAAGCAGAATGAAATATAGTATCTAGAAGATAAGATTTTGATAGTATCAGATGACTAAATTCTGTACAAAAGTACATTACTAGTAGAGAAATCTCAGTGCTCTACCTAAGCAACTTATTTTACAATAGGAGGGGCAGCTGGGTGGCCAGTCGGTTAAATGTCCGACTCTTGATTTCAGCTTAGGTCATGATCTCTGGGTTGTGAGATCGAGACCTGAGTCGGGCTCCACACTGGGCATGGAGCCTCCTTAAGATTCTCTCTCTCCCTCTCCTGTGCCCCTCCCCACCCTCCCTCTCTTAAACAAAAAATTACTTTACAATGGGAATTAGTAATATAGCTGTATGCCTTGGACTCCCCATCTCTAAAGAAATAAGATGTTAATCAAGAGGAAGCATCTGACTGGGATTAAGAGAGGAAAAGGCAATGATACTCTATTCAGATACTGCATACCATTGTTCCCGTCACCTTTTCCTACATCCCTGCATCTTACTAATGAGTTCCATTAGGTCTCCTGAGCAGAAAGGAAAACTTAGACATAAACAGGATGAGGCTTCCCCAAGGTCATCAGGACCATGGTGTGACTCAGACTGATTCTCTGCAAATTCCTATTGCCTTTTCTCACTATTATTAATGCCCCCACTTCCTCCCATCCTCACCTACACAAATCTCAAATAACCATATCAATGTGAGGTACATATGTACCATGTATGTGTACATATGTACACAGAAAGAGAAAGACCATGCTACACACACACACATACATGCGTGTTTATGATACCTGACAAAATGGCTTGGACCTGATGAGACATTAGAGCAATGCTCACCGTATTTGCTCATGCATCCCAATGAACTTTAATTGTGAAGTTTTTGAACACTGAACTATATACACACATACATATAAACAAGCCCTATTTTTAAGTTGGTAAATACATTATGCATGCACTGCCATCAATCTGTATGTCAGATTTAAATTTTTCTTTCTTTCTCTTTTTAGAGAAAGGATATAAATCAAGAGAAGTTCTAAATGTTCCTTCCCTTCCCCCCAGTGGACTGCCCTGCACAGCCCACTCTGGAGATCCCTCCAAGAAAGAGCATGGTACTTTGGGGGTTCCTATGCCAGTTCTCCCTTGCTTGCAACCTTGCTAAAATGGCCTATAAAACCAGGAAAATAAGAAAGCCTGCTTTCTGTGCTGTGGTAAGAAGTAAGTGAGACAGATGCAGAGCCTGGCACAGAGTCAGCCCTCATGAGAGGGGAGCTACGACAACTGCTTCGTGCCATCTCTGGGGTCCTCACCTAAGACCTCCATCCCTCCAGGCCTCTGTTCCCTGTGGCTCAGCTTGGGCTCTACCAGGCAGCATCTGGGGATTAAACGCCTTATGGATACCTCAGGGTCCTTCTCAGAGCAGAGTGTAGGTATGTACCTATATCTCCTGTAACTCGAGCTCAGGAGATCAGGGAGCAGAGCAGTTGAAGAGTCCTTGGGGGGAAGCTGCCTGTTGCCCAGAAGAAGGAATGGAGTCCCGGCAAGGAGGCGTGCATTTCCCAAGCCCCACAGGCTAAGTGCTGAAGTGCAAGGACACAAGCCTGGGACCTCTGAGGGCCTTGATGTGGCCTGACCCAGGGAGATGGCAAGCCTTGAGATTCTCACTCTTAGGCAGACAAAATTAATTAAGAGAAGGAAACAACCCACTCAAGACCACCTGGTGCAATTTTACCCAGTACGGGCATCACAGGAACTCAGTGAACGTCAACTCTCCCCACCACGTTTGACGATTTTGGAAACCACTCACAACTGAAAGAGGCTAAGACCTCGGATCTTCTGAGGAGGCATGTGGCACCCAGGAAAAGTTACAGGGACACTGAGGAATCAAACTCTCCAAGAGTGAATATTACTGAACAGAATATTAATACTTACAGGGCAGGATGTTTTTATATCTATTTTTGTTCTTATTTTCTTGCCTCTGACCCTCTTTTCGGCTGTAGAGAAGTTTGCACTCCTGTTGTTGTAGTGTCTGGAGAGGAAAAAAAGTAAGTATTATTCCACGTCAAAAGCTTAAAAAAAAAAAAAAAGCCTGGCTCATCATTTCTGCTTTAAGAAATTTATCCTAGGAAAGGTTCAGGGTTGCAACAGCTACAGGAATACTCATCTTAAAACTGTATCAACAGTGCCAAAAACAATTTCCAGTAAGAAAGGGCTGCCTGTATAACACTACCATTAATTCATACTAACAAATGTTCTGCGGTCATTTAGAAATACATTCTAGGAGAATTTTTAATGCCTTGAAAACAAGATCAGAGTAAGTGTTAAGTGAAAAGAAGGTCAGACTTCCAAAACAGTATTATTACATAAGCCATATGTTTGCATTTGCCTGTGTACCTAAGAAATGGCAGAAGAATATGCACCAAAAAAGTAATGGGGATTTTTTTTTTTTCAGGGTAGTGGGATTATGAAGGCGTTTTCTTCATTTTTTGGCCTAAATTTTTTTACAGTGAGTTAATATTTATTAGTAGAGAAACCTTTTAAAATAACAATTATTAAGAATGAAAGTTGGGGGGGCGCCTGGGTGGTCGAACCCCACATATCCCTGCTCTGTGAGGAGCCTGCTTCTCCCTCTCCCCGCCCCTCACTCATGCTCATGCTCTCTCTCTCAAGTAAATAAATAAAATCTTCACCAAAAAAAAAAAATGAAAGTCAGGGCGCCTGGCTGGTTCAGTCAGAAGAGCATGTGACCCTTGATATCAGGGTTGTGGGTTTGAGCTCCACATTGGGTGTAGAGATTACTAAAAATAAATAAATAAACTTTAAAAAAAAGATGAAAGCCAATGAGCATCTGCATAGAGTATATAAATAACAGTTGTGATCATGCTTGACTTTATGATCTGCTGCCTACTTTCACCACTGTGTAATTCAGAGCAAGCTATGCTTCAGCTCTCCCAGCTGGATACAACAGAAGTGGTGCTAGGTACCGCTGTATCGTGGGCATGCAAGCTTTGTTCCCCCTGTGCCAGAAACCCACGTTAGTGCGCTAGGCAGCCAGGCTGCGTCTACTGCAGCTACACAAACACCTGCTCCCTAGCTTTTCCCCAGCCAGGGAGTGAGGAAGAGAACGTCAGGCTCCTGGAGCAAGGGGTCAGGAGGGACACTTCTGCAGGGGACGGAGGTGGGGAACGCGATCAGGGAGAGACTAAATGAGGCAGCCACAGTGGGGCTAGCCCCAGTGAAACAGGAGACGTGGGGAAGCAGAGAAGGACCAGCTGCAGAAACAGACAGGAAGGTGGACAAGCCAGGTTGATGCCTGTTCAAGAGGTAGGTTTTATTTTCAAAATTATAAAAAGTACCTCTTTTTTTAAGACTTATTTATCTGAGAGAGAGAGAGCACAAGGGATGGGAGAGGCAGAGGGAGATGGAGAAGCAGACTCCCCATTGAGCAGGGAGCCCGACCTGCTACTCAAACCCAGGACCCTGGGATCATGACCTGAGCCAAAAGCAGACGCTTAACCGACTGAGCCACCCACGCACCCCCAAGTGTACCTCCTCTTTAAGGGACCATTAGTTTCCAAAAAGTCTAATTTGTAAGCAGAAATCACAAGTGGGCAAATCAAGAAAGTGGAAGGCAAACTAAAAAGAAGAAAATACATGTGTGTTGTATATGCACATATAAATTCCAAAATGGCTAGCTCATAAAGGTTTCTACCAGGAGAAAGAGTCAATGTTTCATAACAAGCGGCCCACTATATTTCCACTTCATTTATCTGACTTTTACAGGCAGTTATGAAAGTCAGGATTTTAAATTGCTATTTGACTCCTGGTTTGAAAATGCAGTATTTGGCCTTGACGCACAGCTCATAACAAAAGTAGTTAGCTAGCTGGAACCTGGGCAGGAATAAAATACAATGTACACAGAACTCTGATGATGAGACGGTCATTCCAATTTTTAAAATGAGCTCAGATTAAGTAATTAAAGCCATTTGCCTTCTGCGGGCTGGCATTTCCTCTGAACTGTGAGCCAGTCTTACCGAGCGATATTGCCGTGTTAGGAAGAAGGTTCAATCGTGATTTTCAGACAGTTAAGGTGAGGTTCAAAAAGAAGCTCAAACACTGCAAACTGACTCACCACTTAAAAGTCAAACCAGTGAAGAGAAACAACATCAACAAAAGCTATAAAGGGTGGGGTTGTCCTAGGAAATAATTAGCTGCTTGATTCAAAACCAACCTGACAGTGAAGCGCTCGAGCGCTCACTTACGAGCCAAACTTCGTGTGACACTTCGCTGGTGGAGGTGCAGGCCCGAGCTCGCTCTATAAAAGGCAAATTTCACCCAGGCCCTCCCTGTTCAATCTTCGATGGCTCCCCCTGCCTGAGACCAAGTCTAAGCTTTTCAGAATAACTCACACTCTTCTCTGAGCTAACGGAGGCCGGCCTCTAACCTCAGCTTCTACTTTGCCGAGATACTATCCTGTCTGTGCCTCAGCTTCCTCAAGTATAAAGTGAGGATAGTCCTAATTACCTACGCCGCAGGGTTGGTGTAAGAGTTAAGTGAGATTACTGTGGCAAGTGCAGAAACGTGCATGTTGGCTGGACCATCTACTCAGGTCGACCAGGGGCTCCCCTTGTCCTGCATCAAGTTACCAATCGCCTCTTTCATGCGGATTTGGGGCCTGAACAGCACAAAGGCTGAGACAGGCGTTTGGGCCCCAGAGTCCTCCAGAAAGGACAAGCCCAGAGCGCCTGCGTCCTGGGCATAGTCGGTGCTAATTGGCAGCGGCTGGCAGCTGTCACAGATTACTAATGACTAACTGTGTGTCTCCCCCTCAGCTCCTTCCTCAGTGACCATTAGCCCATTCTCATCTGTGCCTGGGTCCCAAGTTGTCTGAACACATTTCATTTCCCACTGAGGAAGGCTGCCATCCATCTAGAGTGAGGCTGAAAATAAAAAGAACTCAGAAGGGTGACTTGCCATGCTTCGCCCACAGAGGCTCCCCAACTGCACCCAAGATAATCAGGTACCACCTGCTATGGGGTGCTTCCTCCCTAGCACCAGGCTGATGGCTGGAAGAAGCCGAAGAATATCATACAAGCCTGCCCCTACAGGCTACAACGCTTTCGTGGTTTATCTTCCACAACCTCTCTCTCACCAGCAGTCCCTGGGGCACAAAAAAGCTGCAAACGACCTGTCAAGCTAAATGTCACTGTGTCTCCATCCCCATTCTCCACCGGGCAGCGGTAGGGATGCTAATGATAATGACAGGCAGAAAAAGGGACAATGTAAAGCTGGGACACAGGCTGCAAGATACCCATTTGCCCAAGTAATACAAACAAAGAATTTGGATCAAACGATGAATCCTTAAAACGTGCCAGAGGCCAGTTACAGTCTCCTGATTGCATGAGTCAAAAGAGATCTAGGCCAAAGGGATTGTATCAAATTTTAAGCCTTAAAAAGCATCAAGAGAGAGTCAATCCCTGATCCACATTGTACATTCTGAAGTACCCAGCAGCTGGGCGGGGTCTGGCTGGCTCAGTTGGTGGAACGTGGGACTCTTGTTCTTGGGGTCGTGAGTTCCAGCCCCACACTGGACAAAGAGATTACTTAAAAATAAAACATAAAAAAAAAAAGTGCCCAGGAGCATGACCAACGGTGGACGAGACAGGACAAGTGCTCACTGTGCAGAACCATCCCCTGACATTTATGACCAAGGAACACCCCTGCTTCCTACCCCCCAGGGCCCCTGTCAGCCTAAATGCCAGCAGCAGCATCCCCAGTCACTGTACTGACCCAAAAAGACCCCCACTTGGCTTCCAAAGCCCTGACTAAAAACCACTGGACCTGGCTCTTGACCAGAATGTCATGAATCCAAATGGAGGAGCAAGATCAAGGAAAGACAGATAGACAGCAAACAAAATGGCAGAGCCACGCATACCCAGGTACCATGACAACAGCCCAATGACCGTTCTGCCTGCACTGCTCTGAGCAACGGGGACAAATCACAAAAATAACGCCACTAACCATTAACGTCAGACCAAACTGTACAATTACTTTGCTTTTTTTTTTTTTAAAGATTTTATGTATTTATTTTGAGAGAGAAAGAGAGAGCGAGCATGAGT